TCGTGGCCGGCTGCTTCCACGACGGCCTGCTGCTCTATGCCATGGCTCTGAACGAGACGCTGAGCGAGGGCGGCACCAAGCGCAACACCAGCCGCATCCTTGAGAAGATGAAGGGGCGGAACTTCCAGGGTAGGGGATGCTGGGGAGGGGGGAGGTGCAGGAGATGTTGGCAGAGGGGGGTGGTGGTGATGATGGAGGGGGAGCCCATGGCAGGGATGCCCTTGACTCTTCCGGCCAAGGGAGGGAGGCGTCCTTGGTCTGCCTGCATCCCGAACGGACAGCCAAAGGCGAGCTCTTTAGTGGCCAGGCTGGGGGGGGGGGAACTTCAGGGCTTTTCAGACTCTGTGCCAAAGCAGAACAACTGGCTCCCCAGCCCCCCCCCCACCAGCACCCACAGCTAGCTCTTTTCTGGAGTGGGAGGGGGAGGCAGAAGGGAGGCTACTGTCCCTCCCCCTGTGGGGCAGGCCTGGAGGACTAGGGGTGGCTGAGGAGGCCCCTCGGCGTCTGCCCCTTTCCTGGTGGAGGAGAAAGGGCAACTATGGGAACGAAAGGGGCAGATCTTGGCAGCGGGGGCCAGCTGAGCCAGACCGGACGGCGGCCCCTTCTCCTGAGGCGCCCCTCTTCCTCCCCTCCCCAGGGGTCACCGGGACCGTCAGCATGGATGACAACAATGACCGGGACACCGATTTCGACCTGTGGGCCATGGCGGACCTGGAGAGCGGCGAGTACCAGGTCCGAGGGGGGATCACTACCTCTCTCAGAATCATCCAACCACTGATGTATATAGTCCCTGCTTGCTGGGGGATTCTGGGAGTCAATACAAAAAAAGTTGCTTTCTGAAAGAATTGGGAAGGTGGAATCATAAAACCACAGTGCCCAAAGGGTCCCCTGCAGCCGACCATTCCTTTCCAGTGCCTTTTGCTGTTCTGTAGAAATGAGGTCTTATTCATTAGTTGGAGCACAGGATATAGAACAGGAAATGGGTGCATGTCTGTTAGTCACAGTGGTGGGTAGGTTAAAGGTTACTGAGCTACTTTCCAAGCAAGCCTGGGGGAAAAGAAATATAGGGTTGTTTTGGCTAACCTCACTTGGATGCTACCATCCTTATCTTTTTCTGGTTCCAGCTTCCATTTGGGGTTGGCCTGAAAGAGTATCCCAAGGTGTGTGTTTGTGTACGTTTGTGTGTGTGTGTGTGTGTGTGAGAGAGAGAGTGAGCAGGCGGGCAGCTTGAAGGCGGCCGGGCCGCGCTCCGGCCTCCTGGCCCACCTTGCGCCCGCTCTTCCCGCAGGTGGTGGGGCACTACGTGGCGTCAGAGAAAGAGGTGACCTGGCTGGGGCCCATCCATTGGGTGAAGGGGGCCCCTCCGCTGGATAACCCGCCCTGTTTTGACACGGACGACCTCTCCTGTGACAAAAGTGGGTGCATGGAGGGGGTGGTGGCCAGAAAGGCTGGGCCCCGACCTCACTGCCCCCTAACTCCCCCCCTCCAGAAACCTGAGTGGGGCACATTCCAGCTCTTTCCCCCAAGTAGCAGCCTCCAGACTCCGAGGCCCCTGATCCCCTCGGGTTGGGCTGCCAGTGATGCCTCCTCTGGCTGGCCTCGGGCAAGGGGGGGGCTCCGTGGTGGCCCAGGGGACAGATCTCAGGCATTTGCAGGCAGTCAAAGGGAGCTGGCTTTCGCTGGAAAGCCCCCCCCCTGGGGGGGAGAGAAGGGGGGCACCAGGAAATCAGCCCCACAGAGACACCCGCAGTCCAACCTGTATGCCAGGGTGGGCCACTTCAGGTGCCTGGGCGCCATGTGGGGCAGGGGAAGGGTTGGTCTGCTGGGACAATGGAAACCCAGCCCCCCAGCCTCCCCGGAAGCCCTAACTCTGCCTCTCCTGGCAGGTCCACTCAGCACCCTGGCTGTGGTGGCCCTCGGGGCCGGGCTGACCTTCGTCATGTTCGGCATCTCCAGCTTCCTCATCTTTAGGTGAGGGCCCCTTTTGGTACATCCGCTGAGAGGTGGGCAGGGGGCTGGGGAGGCAGCGGGGTGGCAGGCCTGCGGGGGCCACAGCAGACCAATCCACCCACCCAGTGGGTCATCCCCTTCCTGGCCTGTTGGAGGCGCAATGGCACCTCTTTGTTCAAGCAGTTGGTTTGATCTGGATGACCCACCTGTGCCTCCTGAAGCCATTGGTCATTGCGGGGGGGGGATGAGAGGATGGGGGGGCCCTGCATGAGTCCCTCCCCCCCACTCCCATCCCTTCAATTGCTCTTAAAGAGGGGTATCACAGTGGCCATGACGCCTCCAGCCCCAATGCTCTCCACTCCGGGAGAAGAGGGACCTTCTGCAACATGCAGAGGCTCCAGTCGTACGTCTCCTAGCTCTTTTCTCCCTTCCCACTACACTCCTCTCCTGTTCAGCAACTTGGTGTCACCAAATGAGCTGACCAAGGACACACGAGGGGCTTTGGGTGTTTCCCAAGCAAAACAAGGGGTCTCTCTCTGT